TAATTTTTGATTTATTGTAGAGATGAGGTCTCGCCAAGTTGCCCAGGCGGGTCTCGAACCCGCGGCCTCAGGCAATCCATAAAATAATTTTTAAATTAAGTTTTTAAAAAGAAAAAATAGAGACATAAGAAGCAAGACAAAAATTAAAATCCTATTCCAGTTTCCACCTGTGATTACAGAACTATGACTAGAAAGAGGGCCCTCATTCGGGTGTCTCAAAAAAGTCCACTGGCTGGGCACAGTGGCTCACGCCTATAATCCCAGCAGTTTGGGAGGCTGAGGCCATGGGTTCGAGACCAGCCTGGGCAACTTGGTGAGACTTCATCTCTACATTAATGTTTTTAAAAATGTAGCTAGGCATGGTGGCACATGCCTGTAGTTCCACCTGCTTGGAAGTCTAAGGCAGAAGGATCACCTGAGCCCAGCAGGTCAGGGTGCGGTGCCCATGAGCATGCCATTGCTCTCCAGTCACAGCAAGAGTGAGACTCCAACACACACACACACAATTTAGCAAATATTGCCACCAGCTCTACAGCAACAAACAACACAAAGCTCTTGAGCTCACAGCCTAGGGGAGAAGACAGATACTAAATAAGTAATTACGAGAGCAATGCATATATGAAGGACATATAAAGTGGTATGGGAGTACAAAGCAAGATTATCCTAGTTAAGGAAGATCTCCCTGAGAAATTACATGTAAACTGAAGACAGTAAAGGTTAGACAAACAGAAAGGGAAGACAAGTGGACTCCAGGCTGACAATGGAAGTGAGATCTGCTTTGTTGCTTCCAGCAGATGTCTCCTTATTAGCATATGACACTTTGGCTATTCCCTCCCTCTTGGAAGACAGTTCCTTGGGTTTCTGTGCCATGAGATTTTCCTGGTTTTCTTGTACTTCCCTATATCCTCCTTCACAGTTTTTTCAAAGCCTAAATCCTCAAGCCTTTGCACTTTACACTTTCTCTTTGATTCCTGGTGCTCACCTTTCAATGCATCTTCTAACTTAACTGTCATAATATATCAAAATAAATGGAAGATTTTCATGAAGGAAACGGTACTCCCATCTTAAGATAAAAGATGCAATAGAGCAATAAAATAGAATGCAAGTCCTAAGGGATTGTGTTTACATAATTCTCTCTGAAGAAATAACTGCATTATTTAGGTATGTTATAAATACTTTTGGATGCTTATAAAGCTCTCTCTATAATCTGGTGAAGAGCCAACATTGATAGGCAGGGTGTGGTGGCTCATGCCTATAATCCCAGCACTTTGGGAGGCCCAGATGAGAGGACTGCCTGAGCCGACCGGTTTGAGACCAGTCTGGGAAACTTGGCAAGACCACATCTCTACAATAAATCAAAAAATTAAGCCGGGCTCAGTGGCTCAGCCAGTAATCCCGCACCTTTGGGAGGCTGAGGTGAGTGGATTGCCTGACCCCGTGGGTCGAGACCCGCCTGGGCAGTGAGACCTCATCTCTACAATAAATGAAAAAATCAGCTGGGCTCGGTGGCTCAGCCTGTAATCCCATGCCTTTGGGAGGCTGAGTGAGTGGATTGCCTGAGCCCGCGGGTTCGAGACCCGCCTGGGCTGGCGAGACCTCATCTCTACAATAAAATCAAAAAATTAGCCGGGCGTGGTAGCGCACACCTATAATTCTGGCAACTCAGAAGGCTGAGGCGGAAGGATCAATGGAGCCCAGCAGGTCGAGGCTGCAGTGGCCGGAAGCAGCCACTGCACTCCAGTCTGGACAACAGGGTGAGACTCCAACTCAAAAAAAAAAAAAAAAAAAGAAAAAATCAGCCGGGCGTGGTAGCGCATGCCTGTAATTCCGGCTACTTAGAAGGCTGAGGTGGAAAGACTGCTGGAGCCCAGCAGGTCGAGGCTCCGGTGGCCGGGAGCGGCCACTGCACTCCAGTCTGGGCGACAGAGTAGGACTCCAACTCAAAAATGGCCGTGATGGCACATGCCTGTAGTTCCAGCTACTTGGAAGGCTGAGGAGGAAGTATTGCCTGAGCCCAGCAGGTTGAGGCTGCAATGGCCATGAGCATGTTATTGCACTCCAGTCTGGGCGACAGAGGGAGACTCCTAATCAAAAAAACAAAGGGGAGGGGCCAACATCTTACCTTCTTGATGTTGTGTATATTTTTGTAGTACAGGGTCAGGCATACAGTCAATACAAATCAATGGTTTCTGAAATATATGTTCTCTTGGTTTTTTTCCCAACACAGGTGAAATATTTTTTCTATCACTGGCACATTAAACATATGATATAAATTTTGTTTTTTTCCAGTTGGAGTCTCACTCCATTGCCCAGGCTGGAGTGCAGTGGCATATGCACGGCCACCCCAGCGGTGAACTGCTGGGCTCAGACGATCCCTCTGCCTCAGGCTTCCAAGTAGCCAGAACTATAGGCATGCACTTCCACACTCAGCTAATTTTTTTATATATTGCAGAAACAAGTTCTCACCATGTTGTCCAGGCTTGTCTTGAACCCGCGGGATCTGAAATCCTCTCACCTTGGCCTTCCAAAATGCTAGGATTACAGGTTTGAGCCACCATGCCCAGTCCGATATAATTTTTTAAACAAATGACTCAAGCCAAGTTATCCTCTTTTCTTTGCCTCCAGTCTTGTTCTCTTTACCCATCAAATCATTGCATTAAACTGGTGTTAAGTCAAAGTGATCATTCTATAATCGAAATCTATTCCTACGGATATCCTCCTTAAAACTTTTTGAGAGCTTGAAGATCCTCCATGATCTAAATACCACCACTGACTCGCACAATACCAATATATGTACTACTTTCCACACACTTTTTTGTTGTTTTACAGTTCTGTGGTTTGTAGATGCTCTTCTACTTGCAATATTCCTCTCTATCCCCATTCACCAAAAATCTCTTATTTCTCCTTCAAAACTAAGCTAAAACATCTATTTTTGTGAACCCTTTTCTAAGCTCTCCTCTCCTACTCCTTATCATATACTAGGAGACATCCTCTTTCAGGCCACTAGTATACATTACATAAAACCTATTATAGCACTTTGTATTTTAACTTTTCTGTTCATACCCTTTTAATAAGCTGAACTCCTACAGGGCAGAGGCCATGTCTTATTTATCTTGGTATTCCAAGCACAACCCTGGTCAAATAGTTTGGACTCAATACGTGACAGTGGGATGTATAAATGAGTAACTAATAGGAT